TCCTCGCAGCTTGATGGCCCCGCAAGGGGGCTGGCGGATGACGGGAAACGTCTTCGAGCGATTCTGGCGATTCTGGCGTCGTTTCTCGTGTCGGCGGGGTCGCAAGCCCCCGCACAGCATGATCATCAGTCGATGGCGGGACTTGTCATGTTTCGTTTCTCTTTTGTGCGCCACCGCTAGCCGAAGTTCATCACGCTGGAGGGCCGAGCGTTCGGTAACGGCACGACCACCCGTGGAGCTCCTTTTTCGTCGGATGTCACTCATGACGGGAGCGAGCCAGTGCACAGCATGAGGAGCTATCACCGCGCCAGCCGGCCCCTGGCCACCAGGGGGTGGCCATGGGTCAGGGCCTTTTTTCCGGAAGATCAGGACGTCGCGGCAAAGCTCAGCTCAGTGGATCCATCTTACGGTGCGACACAAACGAGAGGATGGGCTCTGGCGCACGGTTCGGTGTCTAATGTTCTTGGCCACGCGGGACAATGCACTCGCCGCGGTGGTGCCCCAGTACAGACGCTTGGCTCGAGGCCTTTGCAGATGGCTTCTAATATCGAAAGGCTGCCGCCTCTGCCGCCGACCCTTATTGAGCGACGTATGTTTAATTCGTTTGTTGTCGGGCTGCCTTTCCGAGCACGGTAGGAAGGGTTCAGGTGAGACATCCAGGCTTGAGCCTCGCCCCGAGGCAGGCGCAGCAGGACGCACTGGATGTGCAGCTGCGGTGGATGGAACTGGGACTGGCGCACCACGTGCCTTGGCTGTAGGTGCGCGGCCCCGCCCTGGGCGCTGGATGCTGCTGCCAAGGCCAAGCCCCAGGCGGGCAAGGACGGCTGGGTGGATCAGCCGCGCGGGCGCCGTGCCCAGCGGCAGGCCCGCAGTGCGGCCTACGAGCGCGGCAACCTCCAAGGTTACGAGCGCGGCGTCGGGCGCCAGTGGCACGCCCAGCGGCAGCGGCGCCACGGCGATCGAGAGGCTGTAAGTGGCGGTCGAGCAGCTGGAGGCGCTGCAGGCGGAGCCGCCCGACGGAGTCGACTGCTTCACCGACGTCGTCGCCAGCCAGCTGGAGGCCAATCGCGCCGAGCTGGCAGAGGCCCAGCGGGCCGCAGCGGAGCAGCAGGCGTCCTCCACGCCGGTGTCGACGACGCTCCACAAGGAGGCGAACGCCATCAGCAAGGCGGAGAAGCGGCTCCGAGCAGCACGCCAGAGCCTGGAGCAGAAGCAAGAGGCTCGCGGACTCGTCGAGGCCCAGCTGCAGAAGGCCCAGGAGGAGCTGGCGCAGCTCGACGCGGAGGTGGAGGAGGCCAGCCGCGCGCTCCACGCCCTCGAGGAGGAGGCCAGAGTGGAGGCCGCGGCGCAGCTGCGCCAGCGCGCGGCCGAGTGGGCAGGGGCCAGCCAGGCCCCAGGGCTCCTCATGCAGCTGGACAAGCTGCCCGAGGCCTGGGGCTCCAGCAACTTCGAGGTGGCGTGGGCGGCCATTCGCCCCCAGGTGGAGGCAGTGCGCGCGCAGCTTGCCGAGGCCCGCGTCGCCCCGAGGAGAGCGCCCTGGGCGGAGTCGCGCCCCATGGGCGAGATCAGCAGCGAGGACGGCGACCACGCAGGAGGCTGCAGGCCTTTGCAGCCGCAGTGCGCAGCGGAGCGTGGCCAGGCCGAGCGACGCGGCGACGCCCACGGTGAGTGGCCGAAGGTCGCCCAGGCGTGCAAGCGGGAGCTGGCGGCCGAGGCTGAGGACCTGGCCCCTCTGCTGGCTGCTCGCCGCGCCGCTGGGAGTCGCGGCGGAGGCGAGAGGCCACAGCTGGCTTGCGCGTAGCCACGCCAGCGGCGCTTTACATAGGCAGCAGGAGGGCGGCGGTGCCGAAGCGGCCCGCTTCGGAGGCACGCGGCCCCTCGACCTCGGGAGTGCGCAGGCCCAACTTGCGCCGGGCCAAGCTGGGACGGCAGCTCAGGATGACCGCTGCGGACTGGAGGTGTGCGGGGCCAACGGCTACGCATGGAAGTGGAGCCTGGAGGGGGCCGAGGCCTCGGGCTCGCGCAGCGGGGCCCCGCCGCGCCTGGTAGGGCACCCGGATACCCGCCTAGCTCCGCACCGCCTGGAGGAGGCCAGAGGAGCAGCGCGGCGCATGGGCCCTGCGGCGTTCCTCCGCGCGTCGGCGCCCACGGACAAGAAGGGCCCGCTGGCGAACTCTGGCGGCGTCGCAGGCCGGAGGCTGGCTGGTGCGGAGTCACAGTGTCCTCTGCGTCAGGCCTGCAGCTGCTGGCATACTCGCTGGGACCCAAAGGCTTCAACCTCGACAGCCTCGCTGCCTTCGGCGACGCGGTGCTCTACCAGAGACCGCGGCTCATTCCCGTCGGGGGCCTGGCCACCGAGACGTTCAGGACCAACGGGGCAGGTTTGGCGGGGTGCGCGAGTGGCCTCACTGTAGCCAAGCCGCATGGGCGGGCAGCCCTCCGCGCAGCCCCGGCGCGCGGCAGGCCGCGGGGCGTGGCTCGCAACGACGACGGCGACATCGCGCTGCAGGCCGTGGGCACGGAGCAGCTGGTGGCCGCGTGTTTCGGCAGAGCAGGGCTGGAAGTGGCGCGCCGCCTCCGCGGTCAGCACCTGCCCCTCAGTGCTGCCAAGACGTCATTCCTTGCTCCGAGCCCCAGCCCTGGGCGCCAGCTCGGGGCGCGCGGGAAGTCGCAAGGCTGGGCCCTCTGCGAGACCTTGCAGGCCAGGAACCTCGGCTCGGACCCGCCAGCACGAGGTGGGGAGCACATGAGCAGTGTCCGAGCTGCAGGAGCGCCTCGCCGAGCACGCAGGCCGGGCCCGTTCCACGAGGCTGGGCCCGCGGCCAGCAGGGTGAGCGGGCGCGCGGCCACGGGCAACGCGGACGGTGAGCTGCACGGTTGGAGACTGGCGGCCTGTCGCAGCGCAGGAGCGCCCCCCATGGGCGCAGAGCGCGGGCTGCACATGCGCTGCAGCGAGCTCAGGAGGAGGCGTAACCTGGACCCTGCAGGCCTCAGGGCAGGCCACGCAGTCCAGATGCTGGCGGGCCTGCTGCAGGCAGGCGAGCTGCCGCCGATGCTGATGGAGAGGGGGCTGGAGGCGGCGGAGACCAGGCACGCAAGAACTGACGCGCCATGGGAGCATTGCGCCTCCCCCCCATCGACGCGGAGAGGCTGGCCCGTGCGTGGATCGACGGGCATTTCAAGTCCGAGCGGTGCATGGTCGCGGACCTCGGCGTAGAGCTCTACCTCATGCACCTCGGGCCACTGGAGCTGGGCTGGGAGGCGGGCCCGGGCGCTCGAAGTGCATCCCTTCGGCACGAGACGCGGAAGTTCAGCCTTGACACCTACCTGCTGGGGGCTTGCATCACCAACCCGCGCTGGGCGCAGGCCAGGCGCCTCGACGCACGGGAGCAGGGGCAAACACGCTGCTGCGGAGCAGAGAGAGGCACCTTGTGGCACCGCCAGCGCGGCGGCCTTGTGTACGAGGCCCAGCGGTGCGGCAGAGGCAGCTGGCCGCCTGCGCATAGGCCACCGCAGGGTCGCCGCACCGACGCCATGGGGGTGCGTTGCTTCCGCGGGCCATCCGATGAGAAGCTCAGCGGCAAGCTGTACCTCGACGGCGCGACGCTCGAGCCGCTGTTCGGCGCCCTGTGCTGGGAGGGCGGAGCCATAGAGCACCGCGATGGCGACGGCAACCTGGTGGCAGAGGTCTTCGGCGCAGTCGGGCGCGACCGCTGCCCGCAGCGGGCAGCCAAGGACGGCGAGGACGCAGCGGCCTGGATGCTCGCCACCCTCGCAAGGCCAGCGGTGGAGGAGGTCAACATCGACTGCTCTTGGCGCGCAGTGCTCGACGGGCGCCAGACGGAGGCTTAGAGGCACGGCAACGAGCACGCCGACCGCCTTGCCGTGATGGGGGGCCCAGGTGCATGCAGTGGGCAAGCTGACCGTTGGCGTGTACCAGCCGCAGGCGGGGCTCGTGCAGGAAATCGGGCGCTGGATCTGGCGCGCCGTCACCCTCGGGCAAGGCATTGAGGCCAGGGACGGCGAAGGGCGCCCTCATGCTGCTGGGCGGCGCCAGGCGCGCGTCGCTGACGCCGAGAGGTCTCAGGCGGCGGAGGAGGCCAAGGGCGAGGGGCCGTCGGCCGAGCGGCCGCGCCTGGAGAGCGCCCGCTCGACAGGCAACAGCTCGGCAGCCCTTTCGGCCAGTGCAGTAGCCTTCAGCATCCTGGGACATGCCCTATCCTACGCCTGTGCTGGAGACGGTGAGGACACCCAGGAGCTCGCGGCGTGCTAAGTGTGGCGCCTACATGACGCTGGGCGGCCGCTCAGGGGTTAAGCCTCGCCTCAAGGAGCGGTGCCCAGGCGACGAGACCGACGCGGGCGGCAGGAACCAGCGCAGCCTGTGGCTACGAGGACTCCATCCTGCAGGCGGGGGGCAAGAGGGGTCACGAGCTGCCAGGCACAGAGTGAAAGGAGAGGGCATCCCTACGCTGCGATCGCAGGGCCCAGTGCCAGATCACGCGCAGGAGCGGTACCTGGAGTGGCTCGGCACGGCTGCGGAGCCAGCTGCAGACCCCTCGGCCGCGGCGAGCAGTGCAGGCAGCGCCCCAGCGACAGCGGCGGAGCCGCGGGCGGCTGAGGGCCCAGGAGGAGGCCCCTCGGATGCGGCCGTTGCCGCGGCCGCCGCCAGCCCGCCCAAGCGGCGCCCAGCTGCGGCGAGAGTGGGGAACCTCGGCGAGTTCGGGGTCGTCGATGCGGGGATCGCCGCCGCGGCTGGCTCTGAGGGCGTAGCCCTGGCAGGCCGCAGGGTACGCCGCCGCGTGGCGCACCGTGGCGGCCTATCCGTGGGTGGGCGAGTGAAAGGTTGCATCGCTGTGGCTCGCGCCTGCTGCTCCACCTGGGAACAGGCTTCCGCCGCCCACGGTGCCTTTTGGGACTCGGCGTCTCTCGGGAACACGGGTCCCGTCTGGCCCTGTCCGCGTGCTTGCACTTTGCCTTGAAGGCCCCGCGGCGGTGCGAGCATGGGGCTGCGGTCGGGCGAGGCCAAGGAGCTGGCAGGCGCTGCCGAGCTCTTGAAGGCCACCGCCCACGGAGCTGCGCACGGAGCAGCGGCAGGCGGCGGCCCCAGGCAGGTTGTCGCGGCAGCCGCGGCCGCAGCTGCGCGCACGGTTTGGGCGCTGCTGGGCGGCAGCGACGCGGCGCGCGCCGAGGAGGACCTCGAGCTCGCCACGCGTCAGGCCGCCATGGAGCCGGCTACGCGCCAGCAGATGCGGGGCGCGCGGCCTTGCAGCAGGGACCGCGCCTTGCGCAACGTCTGCGCGCGCGTCGACCTCGGCAAGGGCGTGGAGGTCCTGCAGGAGGCCCTCTCTCGGCCGCAGGGCGCGCAGCGCGGCGGCCGACGCGCGGCTCGCGCGGCGGACCCCCCCCCCGGCGGCAGGCGAGGCAGCTGTGATTTCGGTGCAGGCCGCGCCCGACCTCGGGCCGCTCCGGGGCGCGGCCAAATCGGGGGCGCCTGTTGCATGCGCGGGCCCCTGCTGCCGTCGGAGCGGCTGGCGCCGAGGCGGAGGCAGGCGGCAGGCCCCGCGGCCACCGCCGTCGGCGCCGCCGCGCCGAGGCGGCACCGGTGGGCTCTGGGCCGCAGGAGGGCGACGGCAGCGGCTGTAGCCTCAGCACGGTCGGCAGCGAGCAGGAGCTGGAGGACGTGCTGAAGGAGAGGCGCCGCGGCCAAGCCGAGCCTGTTGCGCGCCAGCGGGCGGCGGAGCTGGTTGCCACCCCGCTCTTCCCGACGCTCAGGGCCGAGCAGCGCAGCCGCGAGCCGTCCGAGCGCGACGGTCGGGCGAGCTGCGCGACGTGGACGGGCACGGCGACGCCGAGCAGAGGCGGCGGCGCGGCGTGAACTGGGGCGACGGCGGGTCGGAGGGATCTGTGCAGAGCGTGAAGATTGGGCGGCAGGCCTTGCCCGCGCAGCGTGCGGTCGCCTGCGTCCTGGCCACGCAGCTTCGGCTCATCGGGAGCACGGTGTCCAGCTCCTCTGCCTTCCTTTCTCTCGGCGGCTGCGTGAAGAACGCCGCTCGGGTCGTGGAGATGCTCGAGAAAGGGTTCGGTGTCACGCTTCCTAGCTCGGCCGAGTCCGACCTGCTGCTCGCTAGGGCGGGTTGGCAGACGGCGCAAGACATCGCCGACCAAGTGCAGCGCAGGGTCGACTTGAGCACGCGGTAAGGTGCTGCTGCCTCGAGTGACTCCTTGCTGTTTCGGACATCGCTTCCTCTTCTGGGTGAGTGGCCCCCTGTATTTGGGTGTGTTCTCTGACGCATCACGGTATTGTTGAGGGCGCACTCTCTCTCTCTCTGTCATGTGCGTGGCTTCCTGCATATGATTGTGCACTTTTGTTACATTTCTTTGCAGTTGATTGCACACTCTCCGTGAGCCCTGATCATGTATAGGTTCTGTTTTTTTTGCGCAGTGCTTGCATGATTCTGGTTGCGGGTCCGTTGGGATATGTGTAGTATCTGTTCTCTTCAGTGCTGCACTTGATGTGATATTGTGTAGTATATGCTCTTGTCAGTGCTGCACTGGAGGCGACTCGGCTTCTTTCGGGAACTCTGGTCCCGTCTGGCCCAGTCTGTATTTTGTCTTGGGTGACCCCCATACGCCTTGAAGGCCCCGTCCTTCACTTTAACTTTAACACGCAGGAACACGGCAGAACACGCAGAAGCATGGCAGAACACACAGAACATCCGTAGCCATTTTGGCTCAAGCCATTTTGGCTCAATGCCATGGGGAACCCGACGGCCGCGAGTCGTTCGCGGCGCTCTGAGCGCGAGGGTTTCCGCATTTTGGGCCAGTGCAATTCGTGTGCGTGCTCCCTGCTTTCACGGCGCGGAGGCGCAGCCCCGCGGCCTGCGCGGCAGTGGCCATGGCGAGGTCCCCGTGCAGTGGCGGCAGCGGCAGGCGCTGCAAGTCCTACTGGATGTGCAGCTGCGGCGAGTGGAACTGGGACTGGCGCACCTCTTGCCTGGGCTGCGGGCATGCGGCCCCGCCATGGGCGACGGGGGCAGCCCGCGGAGCGGCCTCGCGGGCAGCATCCACCAAGTCGCAGACCTCGGCCTCGGCAGCAAGTGGGACGCCCAGCGGTGGAGGCGCCGCGGCGATCGAGAGGCTCCAGGCGGCCGTCGAGCAGCTCGAGGCGCTGCAGGCAGAGCCCCCCGACGGAGTGGATAGCTGCTTCACCGACATCGTGGTCAGCCAGCTGGAGGCGAAGCGTGCGGAGCTGGTCAAGGCCCAAAAAGGCTGCAGCGGAGCATGAGGTCTCGCCCCTGCCACGGGCGACGCGGCTCCACAGGGAGGCGAACGCCATCAGCAAGGGCGAAAAGCGGCTCCGGGCAGCCCGCCAGGAGCTCGAACAGAAGCAGGAGGCGCGCGACCTCGTCGAGGCCCAGCTCCACCAGGCCCAGGAGAAGCTTACGGAGCTCGACGGGGAGTTGGAGGAGGCGAGCCTGGCGCTCCAGGCGCTCGAAGAAGCAGCCCGCGAGGAAGCCGAGGCGATGCGCCGCCAGCGCGCAGCCGAGCGGACAGGAGCCAGCCAGGTACCAGGGCTCCTCATGCAGCTGGAGAAGTTGCCAGAGGCGTGGAGCACCAGCAACTTCGAGGTGGCCTGGGCGGCCATTCGCGCCCAGATGGAGGCAGTGCGGGCGCAGCTCGAGGGGGCACCATTGGCCTCCAAACGCACGCCGTGGGCCGAGTCCTGCCCCATGGAGGAGATCAGCAGCCACGTTGGCGGTCTCGCGGACGGCGGCGGCGTCTGGCAGCCCCAGCCAGCAGCGGAGCGAGGCCAAGCCGAGCGGTGCGGCAAGGCGCTGGGCGAGTGGCCAACGTTGGCCCAGGCGTGCAAGCGGGAGCTGGCGGCAGAGGCAGCGGACCTGGCTCCCCTGGCTGCTCATCCTGCTGGCAAGGCCGCTGGGGGCCGCCTCGGAGGGGCACAGCCAGGGCCAGCGAGTGCGTAGCGAGGCCTGCGCGGCGGTCCTGTGCCTGCATGGGAACAGCACCGAGGTCGTCGAGAGCGGCTGGGCGGGGCTCCGCGGCATGGGCGCCCTCGTCCCGCCCTGGGGCCAGGAACGCGCTGCAGGTCCCAGCGGTGTCCGCATCCTCCTGAGCACTGGAGAGAACGTAGTTGGGGGCGTCGGTTTCGGCGCTAGCGAGTGGATCGAGCCCGTGGGCAGAGCAGGGGCACCTGAACCTCCTGAGGCGATGGCCAGGAGTGCGGGTCCGCAGCTGCCTACCGTGCAGCCACTCAGGGCTCGAGCTCAGAGACGTGAAGAGGCGGCGGCCAGGGGCGGGGTAGCCGCCACAGGCGTGAGCCATGCCTCGGCGGTCCGCGATGTGGTGCAGGCCCAGTGGATCGGCAACTGGCACCTCGAGTCGGAGAGGTACACGGTCATGGACCTCGGCGGCACGTCTAACCCCATGTTCCTCGAGCCGCGGCCGTGGCCAGGAGTCGAGGGGAACGCGACGCAGCGGCGAGCACGAGGAGGAGGTGACGGCGAACTCGACAGCGAGCAGTACGTCAATGGTTGGGCCGCGAGCATCGGAGGGTTCCTTCCTGCCGAGGGGAACAACCTTGTGACTTCAGCGGCGGCATCGGAGGCCCTACAGGCTGGGGGAGGTCCGCGGCGGCGGCGCTCCAGCTGCGCGGGCCCGCCTGGAGGACAGCCGCTCGACGGGGAGCAGCGCGGCAGCCCTCTCGGCCACCGCCGTCGCGTTCAGCGTCCTGGGGCACGTGCTCAGCTACGCCTGCGTGGGCGAAGGAGAGGATACCCAGGAGATCGCGGCGTGCACCAAGTGTGGCGCCCACAAGGTGCTGGGCGGACACGCAGGAGGCAGGTCCCGCCTGAAGATGCAATGCCCAGGGCCCAGCAACCTGACCAACAAGTCGAGGGACCAGCGCAGCCTGTGGGAGCGAGGGCTCCACCCTGGTGGCAGGCCTCGGGAGGACAGGCAGAGGGCGAGAGCAGAGGGCATCCCTGCCTTGCGCTCGCAAGGACCAGTGCCAGGTCACGCCCAGGAGCGGTACCTGGAGTGGATCGGCATGGAGGCGGAGCCGACTGGCGGAGCCTCCACCGCGGCCAGCAGATCGGGCAGCGGCCCAACGGCTCCAGAGGCAGGGCGGTATGTAGTTGAGCCGGCGGCGGCCAGCCTGCCCCAGCAGCGGCCAGGGCCAAGTGCTGGCCCCCACGGCGCAGGCGGCGCCGTCGTGGGGGAGCCCGCAGCCGCGGAGCCAGCGCCCAGCGACGGACTGGTGGGCCGTAGGGTCTGCCGCCGCCTGGCACGCCGCGGCTCTGAGTCGTCTGGGAGTGATTGAAGACACTCCTGCTGTCTGCCCGCGTCTGTTGCTCCTGTGTGAGTAGGCGCGCGAGGCTCGCTTGCTTGGGACTCGGCGTCTCTCGGGTGCTTTGGTCCCGCCTGGCCCTGTCCCCGTTTTCCTTTTTTGTCGCCTTTAAGGCCCCGACTATAATTATAACTATAACACACAGAACATCTATTCACACAGCCGCGCCCACAGGCACACGCACACAGGCACACGCGCACGCACACGCACACACACAGAGACCGACACACGCACACACACACACAGAGGCTACATACGCTCACGCCGACCGCAGGAGCACGGCAGAGCAGCACGGCATAACAGCAGTGCCGCAGACCACCACGCACAGATACACATGCACATATTCCACGCACCCACGCGGACGCGCAAACGCACGCATGCCACGACATATTTGCGCGGCAAACAAATACAAGAGCATATTTCACACACCTAGTGGACAATAGCGACGCTTCCAGTTCTGGTCCGGTTAGGTTTCTCCCCCTCGTCTCACGGAAACGTGAGACTCGAGTTAGCCGCATTTCGTGTTTGCCAACGCTTTGTGACGGGCCCGTTCTGGAGGTTGGTAGCCCAGCCTTCGTGGGATGCTTGCAGCGAGAGCCCTCGTCAAATTCCAGGCTGGGTCTCGCCATCCTTCTGGCGGCGAGTCCTGCGTCTTCTCGATCGTCGACTTCCTCCTGTCTCTCGCTCCTTGCCCCCTGTCTCTACTGCCTCCCCTCTTCGCCGCCCTCGCGCCCATTTCTTCCCGTCCCAGTCGCCGCTTTCAGTGCTCAAGTGCCGCCCACGCCCCCGCTCAGAGAGCCCAGCCCGTGGAGGCAGGGGGGGGGCTGGCAGCATGCGTCCAGAGAGAGGCGGCCGTACAGTGGAGGCCCATGCCAAGGAACACCCTGCTTGCTTCCAGGGTGCCCTTGGTTTCTTAGGGTTCGATGGTTTTGCGATGGAAGGCGTGGCCTTCCCACGCCAAAAATCCATGGAAGTCCTGGGGTCTCAGGGTTAGGTTTCTTGTGGAAGGTTTCTTGTGGACTGGCCTCCACTGTAGTACAGGGGAGATTGCTAGGAACGATGAGGGAAGACGAGCCAGCCAGAGGCTGCTGGGATGCAGAGCAGCAGCAGCAGCAGCAGCAGCAGCAGCAACATCAGCAGCGGAGCAAACGCGGGCAGCATGTGTCCAGAGAAAGAGGGGGATATATATAGAGAGAGAGAGGGAGAGAGAGAAAGAGAGATAGACAGTCACAGTGTGTGCGAGAGCCAGAGCCGCCTACAATCCGATTCGATGCCATTCGATTCGCTGGCTGAAACCGCGATTCCGACTCGATTCGACTCGGCTAGATCCAGTAGCATTTGCCAGGGCTTGCCGGAGCCGGGAGCGGCGATCCGATCTCGATTCGATTTGATCCATGTCCGATTTAGTCCGTAAGGGTTTCGCCTCTTGCCGCCGGCCGCCTTTTCTATCATAGTGGAATCTATCAGGGTTCCGTCGGTGCATGTCGGCGTTGCCTTGGTGCATCTGGGAACATGCGGGGGCGGATAGGAATCATCAGCGCATATTGAGACGTTGGCGTTATCCTAGTGGCTTTCGGCTCATCCCGCTACCGTGCCTGGGTCGTGGGTCTGATTTCTCTTGTATTTGTATTGGGGTGTCGTGGGCAGCCTCTCGGGAGTCTCTTGGAGGCGGCTTGGGCGTTTCTTGGGGGCCTTTTTGGTCTTCGTAGAGTATCTTTTGGGCCTCTTGGAGGCTTCATGGGCGCTTCTTGGGCGCCTCTTGGGGCATCTTGGCGGCCTTGAAGGGGCCTCCTTGGAGCTTCTCGGAGCGCTTCTTGGGCAATATTGGAGCCCTCTTGGGGCCCTCTTGGACGCGTCACGGGGTGTCTTGGGGGGGTCTTGGGAGCTTCTCGAGCCGTCTTGGAGTGTCAGGAAGCCGAAAATGCGAGAAGGCCACCATCCTCCAGAAACCTCGGTAACATCGACCATGTTGACCTCTTTGGACTCTCTCGGGAGGCCTCTTGGAGCGCTCTTGGGGCCTCTTGGTGCCCTCTTGAACAACTGTCTTGGAATTATCTTCGGGCGCCTTGGAGCATTCTTGTCCTCGGCAACGCAAATACGGTGTACATTGCAAAGGTGTATGGCATCGGGGACGCGAACATTGGTTAATTTAAGGGGGGGTGTTGTCTCGGGGACGCAGGAATTGTAATTTGCAAGGGCTCATGGCGTCGGAAATGCGAACATTGCGCAATTCACATAGGATTATGGCCTCGAATTCGGAGCACACGACCCAAGGGTGGACAATTGCTGATTCGGGGGTCCCCCCTCGCGCGAATTTCAATAATTTAAGGTCGGAAGCAGGAAGCATAAATGTAACATTGGAGACTTGAAACTTCAACTGGTGCAGGGAGCAGCAGCCTAGCCCCACAGCCTGGTGGCCCCACAAGGGGGCCGGCGGATTTCGTGATTCGATCCGATTTCACGAGATTCGATCCAGGTCAGGCTCGAGAGTGCGAGGAACGATGTGGGAAGACGAGCCAGCTGGAAATTTCTGGGGTCCAGCAGCAGCAGCAGCGGAGCAGCAGCAGGACGAGTTGGATGTGTACGTGCCTCGCTCGGATGCGTGCGTGTGTCGAGGGAGCCACCCCACCGACATTCGTGGCTGCACCTGAGCCTCTTCGTGAGTATTCGAACAGTTGACGGGCTGCTGGAAATCTGTTGACCTTCCGAGGCAGCCTGACCAGGGGTGGTGGCCGCGAGGGTTGGCCAGAAGGCCGGCTGGAGGGTCGGTTGGGGTTGGCCGAAGGTTTGCTCTAATGGTTGTCGATTCCCAGACATACGGCGATGTGATTTTTCCCAGGGAAGGCGGGGGCCCAGGGTTTAAGTAGGTAAATCTGTACCCGTTGCCAAGTTCGCGTGGGGCTGGCAGATTTCCGTTCGATTCACAACGAGGTGAAGTCCCATTTTGTTGAACAATTGCGGCTCGCGCGAGCCCGCTCGAGGAAAATGCGCCCAGCATCTCGGACCCTCATTGTTTGTCGGGGTCCGTAGACCCCCGCTGTTCCCTTTCGTAAAAAGAGGGTGCAGAGCGTTTTGTGCAAATCCATACCAAACAACGAGGTTCGGATATCCCAGAATTTTACATAAGAATTGCAAAACGTTAACTTTTTGCGCGCACGCTCTAGAATGGCGCACCGTGCGCGTAGGTTTCTCAATGATGTCTCGAGCCCGCGCTTGTTTTGCAGAACGAATGTTCTCTTGTTGGGTGCCCGCTCGAAGATGGCGCGCCCTGCGCGCTTGAAAGGCCTGGGCGCCCCAGGATGGCTACTAGCGCCTCAGAGCGGGACAAGCATGAAATCACGTGGGTTACACGCGTGAAATCATGTGGGTTCCCAACGCTTCAGAGCAGGGCGAGCGTGAAAGCGTCTGGGTTCCTAACGCCCCAGAGCGGGACGAGCCTGAAACCATTTGAGGGTTCCTGACGCCCCAGAGCAGGAGAAGCGTGAAAGCGCCCCAGAGCAGAACAGGCGTGAAAATACGTGGGTTCCTGACGCCCCAGAGCGGGACGGCGTATGCCCCTCCCCCCTCGGCGCGTCCGCTGGCTCGTCCTCCGTCGCGCACCCTGGCTTGTCCCTTGGCGCGTTCCCTGCTCGTACCGTCGCGTGTCCCTTGCCACGTCCCTTGAAGCGTCCCTTGGCGCATCCCCGAGTGCGCCCCTGGCACATTCCGTGGCGCGTCCATGCGCCGTGTGCCCGGTGTCGTCTCGCCCCGCTTCGGATCAGAGTCGGACCTAGAGCTCGAGCTGATTGAGCGTCCCACGCGTTTCGATTGCATCCAGCTCTGGGCCAGCTATTATTCGCTCAGGCAGCTCGAGCTTACGATCCAGATAATCCGTAAGGGCTTCGCCCCCTGCCGCCGGCCCCCTCTCTCGGAGAATGGGCCATGGAAGAGCTAAGTCATGAGGCCTTGGCGCTGTCGTGAAGCAGTATCGAAACTTCATGCGAAGCCGATTCGCAATCAGCAAAACCAACTGATCACAAGAGGGGTTACCACACCTGGCGATTGGTAAGACGTGTATGGTTTACGGGCTTGGTTACCACACCTTGCGATTAAAGGGCCGAGGGAGTTCTCGCAGTTTGGGTTACCACGCCTTGCGATGGATGTGCGCGAAGGGTGGCACCGAATTTCAGAAATGTGGCAAATCCCCTGTGTTTTTGGACCCTGACCCCGCGGATCTGCGTAAGGGGTGGCGCCGAATTTCAGAAATGTGGCAAATCCCTGTGTTTTTGGACCCTGACCCCGCGGATCTGCGTGAGGGGTGGCACCGAATTTCAGAAATGTGGCAAATCCATGTGTTTTTGGACCCTGACCCCGCGGATCTGCGTGAGGGGTGGCACCGAATTTCAGAAATGTGGCAAATCCCTTGTGTTTTTGGACCCTGACCCCGCGGATCTGCGTGAGGGGTGGCACCGAATTTCAGAAATGTGGCAAATCCCTGTGTTTTTGGACCCTGACCCCGCGGATCTGCGTGAGGGGTGGCACCGAATTTCAGAAATGTGGCAAATCCCTGTGTTTTTGGACCCTGACCCCGCGGATCTGCGTGAGGGGTGGCACCGAATTTCAGAAATGTGGCAAATCCCATGTGTTTTTGGACCCTGACCCCGCGGATCTGCGTGAGGGGTGTCGATTTCGAGCCCCCCCAGCAATTCAGACAACGCGCCCAGGAGACGCTAAAAGTCTTGTTTGGGCCTCCCCCCCCCTCGCGCGGTCAATCAACTAGTTACAGTAACCAGCAAGAAGTCAACTAGTTACAGTAACCAGCAAGAAGCAAAACTGTAACACTGGAAACTAGAAACTACAACTGGTACAGGAAACTGCGAATCACGGGCCTCGCAGCCTGGTGGCCCCACAAGGGGGCCGGCGGATTTCGGTCAGGATTCGGGTGCCAAGGGCGACTTGATCCACAACACTATAGAGCACAATGCAGTTCATCGCGGCAGAACACATCTCACTTCCGCACAGCACAGCACAGCATAATACTCGGCACGGTTCATCACGATCGATACCTTCAGCATTGCAAGTGTTTGTCGCCAAATCAGGTGTCTTGACAACGTAGCATGGCTCGCGTTTCTCCATTCCTTTCCAGGTTCGTGGGTTCATCATGTTTGTGCTCCAGGACAGCGCGCCATGCGCGAAGGTTTCTCGAGAACGTCTCGAGCTCGGCGCTTTGGTTTGCATAAATAGGATGGCGCGCCCTGCGTGCCGAATATCTGAAGATGCCTCGAGCGAAACGTTTCGCTTGGAGCGACCGAAAGGCGTGGAAGCCCGACGATGCGCAGGTGGTTTTGGGATTGCTGTGGGGCCGTTATGTACGAGGGATCGTGGCCTTGGAAGCGTGACAACACGTCGGTTCCTAACGCCCCAGAGCGGGACAAGCGGCACAACACATGGGTTCCTAACGCCCCAGAGCGGGACAAGCGTGACAATGCGTGGTTTCTTAATGCCCCAGAGCGGGACAAGCACGAGCGCACGTCAGTTCCGAACGCCCCAGAGCAGGACAAGCGTGAAAGCACATGTGTTCTTTTAACGCCCCAGAGCAGGACAAGCGTGAAAACACATGGGTCCCTAACGCCTCGGAGCGGGGCAAGTGTGACAACGCACGGGCCTCCAATGCCCCAGAGCAGGACGATGGTGAAAACAGATGGTTCCTGACGCCACAGAGCGGGACAGGCGTGAACAAACCGCGGTACAAGCGTGACAAAAACGCGGGCTGCTAATTCCACAAAGCGTTGCAAGCGTGAAAAACGTGGGTTCCTAACGCCCCAGAGGAGGAGAGGAGGACATGCGTGAGCACACATAAGTTCCTAACGCCCCCGATCGGCAAAAAGCGTGAACGCACGTGGGGATTTATCGCGCAGGGCGTGACAGGTGTGAAAACACGTTGGTTCCTAACAACGCCCAAGAGCGAGATAAGCGTGAGCACACGCGGGGGTTCTCAACGCCCCAGAGCGGGACAAGCGTGACAACACACGGGTTCCTAACGCCCCAGGGCGGGGCAAGCGAGAAATCACGTGGGGTCTAAACGCTTCAGGGCGGGACAAGCTTGACAACTCGTGGACTCCCAACGCACCAGAGCAGGGCAAGCGTGAAAGCACGTGGTTTCCTATTACGCCCCAGTGCAGGACAAGCGTGGAACACACGCGGGTTCCTCATTCCCCTGGGCGGGACAAACGTGAACATGTTTTCCCAACGCCCAAGAGCGGGGCAAGCGTGAAACCACGTGGGTCCCAAATGCGCCAGAGCGGGACAAGCGTGACAACATGTGCGTTCCTCACGCACCAGAGCGGGACAAGCGTGATAACACTTGGTTTCCGCGCCAGAGCGGGACAAGCGTGAAAACAAGTGAGTTCCTAACGCCGTCGAGGGGGACGAACGTCAAAACACGTGGGTTCCTAACGCCCCAGAGCAGGACGGGCATGAACACACGTGGGTTCCAAGCAACCCAGAACGGGACAAGCGTGAACATGCGTGGGTTCCGAACGCTCCAAGGCGGTGGGTTCCGAACGCCCGAGAGCATGACTAAATATCGTGAAAACAGATGGTTCCTAACGCACCAGAGCGGGGCAAGCGTGAACACACGGTTCCGAAACGTCTCAGAGCGGGACAAGCGTGAAAACATTGGGACCTTTAACGCCCCAGGGCGGAACAGGCACGACAACACGTGGGCTCCTAACGCCCCAAAGTTGGGCAAGCGTGACAGCACGTTGGTTTTCCTATCGCCTCAGAGCGGGACCAGAGTGACAACATTTGGGTCCTTAACGCCCCAGGGCGGAACAAGCGTGACAACATGTGGGTTCTCAACGCCCCAGAGTGGGACAAGCGTGAAAGCACGTGGGCTCCTAACGCCCAAGGGCGGGACAAGCGCGAAAACACATGGTTTTTAACGCCCCAGGGCGGGACAAGCGCGGGTACAAGTGGGTTCCTAACGCCCCAGAGCGGGACAAGCGTGAGAATGGTATGTGGCGCTGTCCCTGTTTGTTCCGGGCGCGTCCCTTGCCACGTACTTGACACGTCGCCTGGCGCATCCCCCATTGCGCCCCTTTGCACCTCCCGTGGCGTGTCCATGTCCCTAACGCCCCGTGTCGTTTCGTTCCGTTTCGGAGTTGAATCGGATCCTGAGCTCGAGCTGATTGAGCGTCCCGCTGACCAGCTCTGGGCCAGCTATTCACTCAGGCAGCCCGAGCTTCTTAAGGTCCAGATCAGTTCGATGAGGATTCGGATTCCAAGGGCGACTTGATCCGCAACACTACAGAGCACAACGCAATTCATCGCGGCATGACGCATCTAATTTCAGCACGGCACAGCACAGCGCAATCTCTGGCACGTTACATCACGATCGATATTCTCAGCATTACCGCACACATGTATCGCGCGGCGCGTGCCTTGGCACGTCCATTGGCACGCTCTGTGGCGCGTCCCCTGGCACGTTGCTCTTCGGCGCGGCACAGTGCAGAGCAGCACAGCTCAACCCCTGGCACAGTATCATAACCATGCAGATCTTCAGCATTGCCACTACCCTTCGCCCATCGCCCAGTGTAATTTGCGAAGGATCATGACCCTTGGGCACGTTCTCTGGCACCTTCCCTGGCACGTCCCCTGGCACGTCCGCTGGCACGTTCCGTTGCGCGTCTCCCTGGCACGTTCCGTGGCGCGTCCGTAGCGCGTCCCCTTGGCACATCGCGCGGCGCGTCCCTTGTTACGTCCCCTGGCACGTCCGCTGGCACGTTCCGTGGCGCGTCCTCTGGCACGTCACTGTCCGGCGCGGCACAGCGCACAGAAGCACAACACAGCTATATGGCATAGTCGCATCACCATCGATATCCTCAGCACTGCCACTGCCCATCGCCCAACTGAGTTGCGTGGAATGTTCCCAGGCCTCGCAGTTCCAAATCCCTTTCCGGGTTCGTGGGCCTTCATTTACATAGGTTCTTTTCGCCCGTGAGTTCAACCTGGCACGTCCACTGGCACGTCCCGTGGCACCTTCCCTGCCTCGTTCTCCGGCGCGTTCCTCGGCTTGTCCTTTGGCGCTTCCCCTGCTCGTTTCGCGGCGCGTCCATTGCCACGTCCCTTGGCGCGTCCCTTGGCGCATCCCCTGGCATGACTTTCCCTGCTCAGTCCTCTGGCGCTTTGCCCGGCTCGTCCTCTGGCGCTCCCCTTGCCAATTCCGTGGCGCGTCCCCCGGCACGTTGGCGCGTCCCTTGGCGCATCCCTTGGCGCGTCCTTTGCTACGTCGCCTGGCGTGACGCCCCGTGGCACGAACCCCCCTGGCACGCCCCTCGGCGCGTCCCGTGGCACGTTCCCTGGTTCGCCCTCTGTCGCGTTCCCTGGCTCGTTTCTTGGCGCTTCCCATGCCCGTTCCGTGGCGCGTGGCTTGCCACGTCTCCTGGCGCGTCCAGTGCCACGTCCCCTGGGCCCTGGGGGGTCCCTTGGGACGTCCCCTGGCATGACGCCCCATGGCACGCGCCTTGGACGTGCCCGTGGCACGTCCCTGACACTTTCACGGCACGTCCCCTGGTACATCCGAATGCGTCTTTTGACACGTCCTTTGGCGCAGCCCTTGGTGCGCCCCTTGCACATCCCGTGGCGCAACCATGCGCCCTGCGCCCCGTTTCGGCTCGTCCCGAGCTTGAGCTGATTGAGCTCGAGCTGGTTGAGCTCGTACCAACTGAGTCATATCTTGAGCTCGAGCTGATTGAGCGTCCCGCAAGTTCCGACCGCAAACCAGCTTTGGGCCAGTAATGCTTTCAGGCAGCTCGAGCTTGAGACCCAGATCAGTTCGGTCAGGATTCGAACGCCAAGGACGACGCGATCCACAACGGTATTGAGCACAATCGCGTCATGGCACGTCTAGATTCAGCACGGCTCATCACAGCACAAACCGTTGACACGGTACATCACGATCGATACACTCAGCATTGCATTTGTTTGTCTCCGAGTCGGGTCTATTGAAGGCGTTGTCGTGCCTCAGAGTTCGAAGCTCCTTTCCGGGCTCGTGGGCCGATCACGTTCCTTGGAAAGGGCGCTGGCCCCGGCTTCTCTTCTAGTTTGCACATTGTCCCCGGTGACATGTTGGGGAAGGATTGTCGGCAGCCTTGAGACGGGGGTCAATGCAAACGGGGGTCAGCCAGAGCTGGCTGGCTGTGGCTGGCTCTGGCTTTGGCTCAAGCCATTTCGGTCCAGGTCTTGCTGAGGACAAAACGGATCCTACACCCAGCTTCCTCCCCTCCCACAGCCATGCCTGCCGGTGTTGTCGCAGCGATCCTCACAGCCGCGGTCGTGCCATCGGCGCTGGCGACAGCCGCTGCCGCCCAGCAGTGCGAGGAGGCGGACTGCGACAGCGCGAGCCTCGTGCAGTTCCGGGACACGCGCCAGGAGAGCAGCGTGAAGCCCCAGCCCTTCGTGTTCCAACCGGATGGCCCTTGCTCTGGAGGAGGGGCTGCGTGCGAGGCTGCAGGCTGGGTCTATTGCCAGGATGCGGAGTGCTCGGAGCCAACAGTCGTGGACGGCGTGCTCGTCGCGAAGTGCTTGTGTTGGGCTCCGAAGAACACGAACACCAGTGCCATGCCCGGCAGTGACAATGCTGGGGCCTCGTGTGTGATCAATCAGCAGCGGGGAGGTACGCCGCTCCCAGCCGGTGGCACAGCCATGTGCGACGCCATCAAAGACGGGAAGTTGATCTCCACGTGGGGCCCCAAGGGCTGGAAGCCGCCGCTCGTCACCTCCAAGTGCCCGGCTGGGACCCCCTTCGCATGGTGTTGGGGCGCGCCGTGTACGATGGAGGCCGGGGACATCGTGTGCGACTGCCCGATGGTGACTGTGAACAGCACCGATACTCAGTACCTGAGCCTCTCCATAAGGGCTTGTGCGGATGAGGCTGACCCCTGCTCGGTGACCCACAACGGCGACCCAGCAGGGTCCGCAGTCGAGCTGCACCAGCACATGGGGCAGTGCAGCGCCAAGCCAGACCCGCCGTGCCAATGACGCAGGGTGCATACTGACGTGCGCGAAGCGGCGGAGCGCGAAACAAAACAAAAAACAAAAAAAAAACGGGGGTCAGCCAGAGCGCCCGATCTTGCAGGATCCTGCAGGGCCAGGGTCGCATTGACCAAGGTTTGGGTGCAGGATCCTGCAGGATCTTGCATGATCCTTCGCATTGTCCGCGGTTTGGTTGCAGGATCCTGCAGGATTCTGCAAGGCCTGACTGACCCGGGTCTGGATTTACCTGGGTCAGAAGATCCCCGAGGTTGGCGAAACGATGCTCGATTCATAACATGGTGCAGTCTTATTTCCAGTTGCAGGAGTGCGTTTCGTGCGTGCCCGCTCGACGACAACACGCCTCCCATGTCGGATCCTCGATACATGTCGGAGTCCGCAGACCCCCGCTTTCCTGTTAGAACTTGCAGGAAATATGGAATAACATGTAAAACATTGGTTTTGCGCATCCCCCCCAAGGTGGCGCGTTCTGCGCGCAGAATTATCGAGGATGTCTCGGGCGAATCGCCTGTTTTGAAGAAGCGCCTCAGGTTCCCCAGGCGGATATCCAGCATGAGAATTTGTTTTGGATGTCTCGGGCGACGAGCTTGTTCTCAGGTGTCCAGGTTGCCGAGGCGGATTTCTAACATGAGGATTTGTTGAGGATGTCCCGAGACGCTTGCTTTCACGTGTCCATGTCGCCCAGGCGGGTGTCTAACATGAGGTCGCCGGACTCGTCGCAGTTAGAACTACATGCGCGGAGGGGGTATCTGATCTTCACGTGTGCAGGTGATCCAGACGGTATATCTAACATGAGGTCGTCGGGCTTCCCGCATGTACACATGCGTGTTCAGAGGGATATCCAACATTCGTCTGGCGCCTGTGCCTTTGGCACGTGTTTTCACGTGTCCAGGCCACCCAGCGGGCAGTATCTCACATGAGGTGGCTGGACCTCCCACGCGTGCTCGGAGGAGATATCTAACATACGTCTGGTTCCCGTGCCTTGCGCACGTGCTTTTACGTGTCCAGGCCCCCCGGGGGGATAGCTAATCTGTAGTCGCAAGGCACTCCGCACGTCAAGCTACGCTCGCGGAGGGGATTTCTTACATGCGCCTTGTGTATTTGACCCTCCGCTGTTGGCGCACGTTTACTTTGAGCGGTGATCTCTCGTGGGTCTCGGGGGCCCTCGGCTCCCTCCTGGGCCTTCCCCGCTCCTCCTCTTGCCTTTCCCGCCCCGTCCCCAGAAACGAGGTGAGGACTACAGTCGGGGCCCTGAAGAAGGAACCCTTTTCGTTGGGGAGGGGCTCCGCGTTCCTTAAGTGTTTCGCAGCTTGCCTCAGGTGTTCCTTACGTTTTCGATGGGGAGTCGAAGCTTAACTTATGGAAGAAAGGGGCCTCGTTCCTTATTTAGGGTTCCTTAGGTCAACGCCCCGACTGTAGGCTCGAAAGTTTTGCGCCTGCCTCGGCAGTCATGGGCTCGCGGAGCGGTCGGGGAACACATGGGACGGACGTGCGCTCGCGCGTGCTGCCGCTCCTCCCTCCTGGCCGTCGTCGTCCGCCCTCGTGGCTATTGGTGCCATATACACTGGACATCCATGCCTCCTCCTGCTCCTCCTCGTCCTCCTCCTCCTCCTCTTCCTCCTCCTCCTACACTGAGTGAGTATCCATGCCACGAAACACCCTGCTTGCCTCCAGGGTGCCCTGGGTCTCCTCGGTTTCGAAGGGCCTGCTATGGAAAGCGTGGCGCTCCCACACCAAACATCAGTGCACGCCCCGGGGTCTCAAGGATGGGTTTCGTGTGGAAGGTTTTTTGTGGTCGGGCCCTACTGTGTATATATATATATACTTCCGCACAAAGTGACGCGGCCGCCTTCATAGGCGAGCCGAGGCCTATCCAGTGTTTGGCCCAAAGGCCCTTGCACACCTAAAAGCACCTGGCGCCCGTACCTTGTGATGCGTTTTGTTTTACGTGCCCGCGTCATCCAGGGGGTGGGGCATCTAACATGTGGCCGTCGGGCTCCCCACACGCAAACATGCGCGCGCTGAGAGGGCATCTGACGAGCATCCGTTGCCTGTGCACTTGGCGCAACTCTCCCTTGCCCGGGCCACCCAACGGGCTATCTAACACGAGGTTGCCGGCCTGGCAGCACGTAGATGTATTGTCGGGCCGGGCGAAAGGGGGGGATTGGGAAGGGGGGGTTACAAAATTTGCTGCATGCAGCTGGTTTCGGCCTCAAGGAGGGGCCCATTCCTCGATACATAGCCGCCTCCGGCGCCGGGAGGCGCCGGGAAAATCAGCTACGTGAGCTGATTCTCAAACCCCCCCTTTGCTATCCCCCCCTTTCGCCCGACTCGATATTGGCGCGGAGGGGTATTGAACATGCGTCTGGCGCCGGTGCCTTTGGGGCACGCGCTTTCACGTGCCTAGGCCACCTTGGGAGGGTAATTATCTAACGTGTGGTCGCTGGGCTCCCCGTACGTGAACATGCGCACGAGGAGCGGGGCATCTAACCTGCGTCCGGCACCTGTGCAGGCGCCTGTGCATGAAACGTGCTGCCAGGTGTCCAAGCCACAGGGTATGTATAATGTAGATGTATATATATATATATATGCGTGTGTTTGTGTGTGCGCGTGTCTGTAAAAACCGTGTGCCTCCACATCTCTCTGTCTCTCTCTCCCTCCCTCGATTCCTCTCTCTTTCTCTCTGGATACATGATGGTTGTCACTCCTCTCTCTCTCTCTCTCTTTCTTTCTCTATCCACCTCTCTCATCTGCATATACAACAACCATACGTGTATATGTACATATACATATATATATATATACACATACACACATCTGCATATGCGTACAACTTTGTGTACGGATGGATGTATGTATGAGTGGACGGGTGCATGGGTGGATGTATGTATGTGCGTCAGTATGTATGTGTATGCATGTATGTATGTATATATGCATGCATGTATGTACGTATGTACGTATGGGTGCAAGTCTGTATGTATGTATGTATGGATGCGTGTATGCATGTGCGAATGTGTGTGTGTTTGTGTGCATGTATGGATGCGTGTATGTGCGTAGGTGTGTTTGTTTGTATGTATGGATGCCTGTGTGCATGTGTGTGCGCGTATGTGGCTGTATAGATAGATGTGCGACTGCTTGTATGTACGTACGTATGTATGCATGTATGTGCATGTATGTCTGTCTGCTTGCATGTGTACGATTGGATACAAGCTTGTATGCATGTACGTGTGCCTGTCTGTCTGTCTGTCTGCATGTCTGTCTGTATGTAGGTAGGTCGGTAGGTAGGTAAGTGTCTGTATGCATGTATGTATGTCTACATGCATAGATGTACCCATAACATGTATACATCTGAATAGACATATGCCCAGGGAAGGGAATAGGGCCCAGAAACCACGGCCCCGCTGGGCACAACCCCCCCTGGCCTCCCGGCCGTTCCCTGGCAGCTCACGACAGCCCATGGGGCGCTCCAAGAGTGCCCACGAGGGCCTCCAGATCGCATCCAAGACCATTCAACACGCCTCAAACTGCCCAGGACAACCTCCAGGCGGCTCGAGAGGCCTCCAGGACGCCCCAAGAGAGCTCCGAGTGGCCCCCCAAGAGTGCCCCAAGAGACCCCTTGTCAGAATCCTTGCGGTAAGCGAGAATTGTTTGCACATTCGCAAGTTTGGTGTTCACAGGGTCCACGACGGCCTGGAACCCCCAAAGATCGCCCCAAGACGGCCCAAGAGGCCTCCAAGGAGGTTTCACGACGGCCCGAGAGAAGCCCAAGGCCCAAGACGGCTCGCGAGGCGCCCAAGACAGCCCCAGAGGACCCCCAGAGGGCACCAAGAGAGGCCCCAAAGGGGGGAGGTCTAACAGACATTTCGGGCCCTCCGCCCCAAGATGGCCCCTGAGATTGCCAGCGGGTTCACCCCCAGGAGGCTCCGCGAGGCTCCCAAAAGTCCAGGATAAGCTCAAGAGGCCACCCCAAGGCCCATACAAAGGTCCCAAGAGGCCTCAAAACTAAACTGCTTCCCGGAGGCGACGTCGGCGTTGTCGTCGTCGTCGTCGGTCGGCGGCGGCGTCGTCGTCTAAGTCGTCTAAGTCGTCGCCTTCTTTGTCGGGGGCCTGCAGGGGTCGAACAGGGGAAGGGGGGAAGGGAGGGGGCGGCTTCCGGCAGGCAGGAAAATGGGGGGGAGGGGGGGGGGTCCGTCAGGGATGCCAACGGGAGGGGGCGAGGGGTAGCTCCAGAACGCGGAAAAGAAGAGGGGGGACGTGGTGGTTGGGGCTTCCGACAGGGAGGGTCCAAGGGGGGTAGCTAAGAGGAGGCCCCCCCTTGGCGCTGTTTCCCGTGGCGCGCTCTCTCGCGCGCATGTGTATATGTATAGTTGTACGTATATGTGTTGGTTTGCTTCCATGTATGTACTTACGTATGTGTGTAGGTATGTGAGTATGTATGCATGTTTGAATGCGTGTTCCTCTGTGTATAAGTGTATATGTGTATAAATAAATAAATATATATATATATATATGTGTGGGTGTGTTTGCATGTCTATTTGTATGTATGTACGAAGGTCGGTTGGTAGGTAGGTATGTAGGTGAATCGAAGCATCTGTATACATATATATATATACTGTCAAAAAAAACAGACGGCTGGGCCCTGGCGGCCCAAGCCGGAACCATTACAGCAGATGTGGGGCAAGGGGCCGGGTTCGTTTTGGGGGGCCCAGGCTCGCTTCGAAAGGCGATCAGACAGTCGTCAAAAAGGCCCACGTCGGCCTATAGTTGCCCACAAGTCGGCCTCTAGGACTTACGAGGCGTCCCAAACGGCCCAAGAGGCTTTTCAGATGTTTCCCAACCATCCTGTGGTGTTGGGTCCTCGTTTTGAAGAGACAGCGCCCCGCGTCCTCCCTCCTTCTCCTCCTCCCCCCCTCCCTCCTCCTCTCACCCGTCATCCTCCTTCCCCCCCTCCCTCCTCCTCTCACCCGTCATCATCACCATCATCGTCA